ATGAATCTGTTATAGCAATCGTCAAAGATGGAAATTCATTATTGAAGTCAATAATGATTTACTTATATTAAAAAAACAAGCGCTGAAGTCTCTTCTATCATGGAAAAAAACAGTTAGTCCCATAGAGTAGGATAGTGATAGACTAAGATAGTTAGAAAATTCAGAAGTAATAAATTGATCGTTATATATATATATATACTTGTTTTTCTGTTGAATTAAATTGAATATATTGCTGAAGAATTTATTTTGTGATAGAGACGTTGAACGATTGGTTCAATTTTAATAATTCATAAATATTAATCTTTTGATATAGAGTATATATTTTTGTTGTATGTCTTTTTTGATGATGAAGACATTGAATGATTGATCATATTTCAATAATTAGTACAACAACGTACTTTTTATTCAATTGACACGATCAAGGTTCGGAAAAAAAATGTTTTTTTTTAAGCAGTTATTTAATCGTAATCTATTATTGTGCTACAAAATAATAACTATTTGTTATATGTATGATGAAACATATTTACTGAATAGTATTCCATTTGCTAAGTGTTTTTTTAATATCAAGTTTATTAGTATAAGATTGTACCTCGATAAAAAAAGAAAAGCTGTTAGTACAATTCCTCCGGGATTAAAATGTAAAACACAATGGAGCTGTTGTTATTGTACAACGAGAGGGAAGAGTTAATCAACATATGTTTTGGTATTATGAATTCGTATTTATTGTTAATACATTTCGCTGATGAAAGATATTAATTTCAATATAGTGTAGTAAGTGTGAAAGAAAAGTAACAGATAACTATTGTACTAATCTTAGAGTAGGTTTTGATCTCGCTATTATGATTGTCACGGTCTTTAACGGTAGAAATGCGTTGCTAAAGTACCTGGAATGTCTGCGTGAGAGAGGAAAGGAGTCAAAATTCCAAACTTCTATACTTTTAACGGTCTATTATATATTCTGATGAGGTCAGATGATTGTTGTCGAAAATTAGAATGTAATCAGTTTATGCTATTATGTTAGTCACATGATAGCTGTGGAAAATCACAACATCATACTTTATATCTATCATATAATCGTTGATCTGTGAAAAAATCAGAAATTGTGTTATTTACAATACTGAAAAACATATTCCAATCATTTAAATTTCAAGGAAGATTCTAACATGTTCTAAAACCATTTAAGCCTTGTTATTGATATCGTTTAGAAAAACTTCCATGTACACAATAAGAGTCTCTTATTATGCCTTCATTGTTAAACATACAAGAAAATAAATAATTAAAACACTTATTCTTTATATTTTTCGTTTTTAGATTTAATACCACATTTTTTTTTCTGTAAACTCTTGTACAAGTGACTTACATAGAATATTGATGATAATAGTTTTATTGACGGAAGTTTTTTCAATTTTTGGTCCGTAATCTAACTCTTACATTTTGGGAATCGAATGTTAATGTAGCGCCTTATTATTAAAACGTTCTTTAACGAATTTATTCGATTTCAGTAATAAATGCTTGAACCGAGCGTCAATTTAATGTTGTAAGACTTACATTGACTGACAGAAAAGTTTGTTTAGATTTAAAAGAATTGTATAATAGGTTTTATGTTTGTACTATTGCGAAAATTGATTGTTAAATGTAAATATTTTTCTGTTATTATAAGTACCTTTTATTTCCTATATTTTACGTTGTACATTGTCTTTTATCCCTTCGTTGTATGCTTAATTATACATTGTTTTTAGTATCTTGATTACATTTTTTTAAATTGTACAAATTAGAACTCATATAATCAAAAACATTTCGATAATTCAAGTCTTTCTTGTATGAAAAGTATTCATGATAATAGTCTTTTTGCTATGATTTGATATTTCATGCAAGAAATTTCTATTATCTTATCTTTATTGATATAATTAAACGTATTCAAAAACCAAAAATATGAATCAGCTTAATTTGATCTGCAGGCATGCTGAGTCAGATAATATCAGAAAAAAGTGACCCTTTGACAGCTCTGGTGTACATAGGACGACGCCATAGTATGACCAAATAAACTACATTTTAATTTATGCTATCGAAGATGATATCTATTCTTAGAATTTTTAAATATGAAAAAGTACAAGTTTAACTCTTACAAATAGATGTACGATAGTATTAAAAACATGTCAACAAATCACCTTTTACATTGAATAAAGTTTTGCAATTTGGATTTGAATTCGTATTTATATTTGATTAAATCTATACAAATAATTTTTCCAAGAATAGAACAAAATTGTTCTGTTTTCGCCAATTTTTGTCCCAAAACTGTGATATCTAGTCTTACCATAATTCAAAATTATATAATATCAAATAACAAGGCTTAAGGTTTTTTGAACTTTAAGCATAGGGCTGCTTACTGTGTTTAAACACATGATATACATCTGTAAATGACAATGTATTTCAAGATATACAGATCTAGAGTATCATGATTTATTCTTATTACAAGTAAATTTAATTTCCTCGTGACAACAGATGATCTACAATGAAGTCTCTCTATGTGAGCACCTCCTTATTCCCAATAGTGGGCACTCATTACTGATCCAATTAGCAATAATAACTATATAGCATACGTTCAATCATTCACGTCCTGAATAAAGAAAAATATGATGTTATGTGTATTTCATTGCAATAAACAATCATGGGACACATAGAAAAGGGGATGGATTAACTATGCACATTTAGACGAGAAAAAATCAATATTAGACAACAGCAATAGTACTTGGTGTAATATCTCGTTGTTTTCATATGAATAGCTAGTTACATCACATTACATGAAAAGGTTTTGATTTACTGTTGATTAAAAAGATTTAATTCATTGAAAAGAAGAAAAAACTCAACTTGCGCAGCGAAAAATCAATTGCAACTGAACATTTGTCACTTGAAACATAGAAGTTGAAAAGCTGTATAAGTCGAATACTTGTGACCGACTCCGATGATACTCACATTAGAAGTTAACTACAAGAAATATGTTTTGTTTTATTATTATAAATAGATTCATGTTAGAAAAGTGAGATTAATAGTTTCTTTTTTTTTAACTTCATAAAACTTATGATTAATTATTGTTAGTGTTAGAGTTGGATTGGATTGTGAAAAATTTTTTTTAAATTTTAAAGTTAGTCTGCAATGTAAACATTTTGCAGATACAAAAGACATTTTGACTGTTTTTCTTTTTCATTTAAAAGTTCTATAAGAGATTATGAAAAAGTTTAGTAGAACAAGCAGTTATATATCACACGATCTTTTCTTCTGGGTCACCATCTCTTTTTTATTGACATTCAACAACAATATATCGAGAGTGCACCATGTTCAATGGTGACATAAGCATCGTAGGTCATATAGATCAGACAGAAAAATAAACAAAAAAACAAGTCTAGCACATAATCGTGTTGTCTCACTTTCAGAATATAAACGAGAAAAATAAATAAAGGATATATCGTTTGTTTTTAACTACGAATTGATAGAAAGAAAACAGGATTCAGAAATTGATTTTCTTAATAAAAAAAAAAGGAAGCAATACCAATGTTTGATTCGGGTCATAAAAAATTTGACCCATGTCAAGCACTGATTATTGTATCATAAAAATTATTTCTGACTTCATTTTATATAATATGCTCTTTAGAGAAGTAATCATCTGTATACACACTAAGAAATTAATTCGATTTCATTTTAAAGATTAAATTTAAGATTGAAAAAATTTTATTTCTACCTACTGCTAGTCAATATTCAAGTATGTATTATCTTTTTGTCTGTTATTTTAAAATAATGTTCTGTTTATGAGAATATATATTGATTGTGTATGCTTGAATTATGTATTTGTCTTCATATGCATTTATCCGTCTTTCTATAATTGAAAAAAAAAATATTCTAAATGACAGAGAGCAATTTCTAATATGATATTTTCAAAAATTAAAAAATTTGTATCTAAATTATGTAATATATAGATAGTTAGAAAATTGAGTGCTAAGTTAATCAGGTCATGTTAACAACAAAAGTAATTGAATATATACTTTTTATTGCATGTGTCAAGTGATTTTGGAAACATGCAATGAATGTGATAGGTAAATGAAAATGCGATCACTCATACGCTTATTTATATATATTACTTTGAACCAATAATATATATATAAAAGAGTATAAAATAAGTTTTGATCTTCTCATGTCATATTGTTTTCTCAGACGTTACTGTATTGTTCGAAGCTGATATTCACAGTGTAATCTTAAAGTCATAATAATTTTTGAATTTCTTTTTTGGTTTTTTATTAGTAATATTACATAAAAGATACTGCTTGAAAGGAAACTTAAAAATCAAATTTCTTTTAAATAAATAATAAAAAAAACATCATTCATTGAATTTCATATATTTGTTCTTCAACACTTGGATCTATCATTTACTCGCGTTTCACTACTGTAAATATCCTTCATTTTTGTATTATTTGATTTTTTAATTCTAATTCGTTGTTGCTGTACATTACGATCACCAGAAATTGTATGATATTTTCCCATTCATAATGACGTGAAAAAATTACAGAACGGAAGAATTATAGGCTGAAAAGTAATCGTTACTCATAGTGAATGGTTGATCGAATGTCTATAATTTTTTTCATCCATGATGTCTTGAAAACTAAGCCAGAAGCTTTTTTATGATTTTGACATTAGTTGTATCTCTGTAGCAATATTAACCAAAAAGCTAAAATTCTAGTATAGAGTAGATCTAAACATGTAATATGAATACTGTGAATATCAACTTAGAACAATACAGAAACATGTTAGAAAACAATATTATATGCGAAAATCAAAACTTATTTTCCATTCTTTATATACTGAAGTAAGAGAAGAAAAATCTAAATTACATCAATGTAGATTGTTCATTTGTGTAGATAAGATTATATTTCTATTGAAAATTGAACGATAAAAACAAAATAAAGAAAAAGATTTTTATTTTTCATTTTCATATTTATAGATAATTCAATATGCAAGAATTATTTCGATATTTATTTTTGATTATTTTTGCATTATTCGTTCTATCTTTTCGTAAGTATACAACAATGTTAATATATAGAAATAGTATGTTTATTATAGATCATATTGAATGTCGAAGTGCATTACCACAAAATATAGATCGTTTAAAAAGTTCATTAAAACATATTGATTATAAAAATCTTTGCATGTTTCGAAAAAATCGTCTATGCAATTGTAAGATTTGTTTAAATATACTATTTTTACAACAAATTTTTATTTTAGTTCTACATGAAATGAATAATGCTACATCTGATGAAACAAAGTAAATAAAAGAAAGAAATTTCAATAAATTATCAAATTTATTTATTATATAGACAAGATCAAGAACTGTGGAAACGTGGTCTTAGTCAATTCTACAGTAATTGGTAGAACATTTTCTCATCATGTATTTATTAATGATTTGTATTGAATGATATGAAATAAAATCAAAGATAATTGAGAAAGAAAAATACAAATCAAAATAGAAAAATATTTATTCATTATTTGACTCAATAAGATATTTCAAATGATGATACTCATGTTTTTGAATAATTTAAAAACTCTTTCGTTTTTTATTTTTGAGATGCAGAAAATTTTAAGTTATGATCTTCCAATTGTAATAGAAGTCCACTCTATTCGAATGAGTACAAAATATCGATGTCAATCATCGAGTAGATTAGCTCATCATTTTTTTTGCATGTTTAGTTGCAATGTCTTTCGTGTACCTAATTTCATTTGTTTTACATATTTTCTATTAAAGAAAAAATGAGTTTCTTTCGGGAACTGAAAAATTTATACATCTGAACATCAATGAAGCACAGCTGTTCAGGATCTGGTAAATAAGAAATAGACATGTTTTAGTATGCATTTATTGAGCACTTCCTGTGAAAGAATTATACACACGGATTGAAAATGAAACAATGCGAATTTGTATTCAGTTGACAGAAATGTGAACCAATCTTTAACTAGAAATGAGACATCTCACAAATCTGAAAGATGGTCAGTTGAAATTATGTTAGAGTTGATTGAGGTCTAAAAATAAGTGCCAGTATGAGATGAGTACGATATCGATAATTGAAACACGCATAAGTTTTGGAGAACCTATTTCATAAAAATGAAAAGTCTTTATTTGAGTAGTAAAAGGTTTACTTTATACTTCTTTCAAAATAATTGAAACAATGTTTTATGCAGCATGAGGATTGACAAGGCGCCATCCTTCCAACGATCGAGTCGATCCTCTCGAAGTTTGTTACTGTTTATCACGTACGATGTGTTTGTATTAGAGCGTTCGATTAGAGAGGGATTTGTGAAAGCTTTCACATCCTAAAACTTTCAAACTTTTCGCGAAATTTTCTATTGCTTCGTAAGAAATTCAAACAGATAGAGAGTTTTATCGATTTCGGTTCTAATTCTGATTGATATTCATACAGAGACACTTTCTTGCAGACAAAATACCATCAAAAGTCGATGATGTCAGTATCATCAATTCGAACTCTGTCAGAAAATCGAGAAAAAAAGATATTTTCTTCCTCAGAAACAATCGGAAATCCTGATTTATACTTCTAAAAATAAACGTTCGTATTCCTGAAGTTTTACATCACTCGTATTGAAGAGAAAAACTAAATAGAACAATAAATTGAATTATTTCTCCGTCGATTTCTAAGCTGTAATAATCTCCTGACATGATGTCTCCTGACAGGGTTGTATCGTACATGTTTCATAGAAAAGTTTTCTCAATTTCTTCAAACTTCGATAGTTTACCAAACTACAGCATCACGATAAATGCAGTTTAATGTATCCGTATTGAAATTCATGAAATACTAATAACAGATGAAAGTGTGAATAAGAAAAGTATTATTATTAACGCATCACTCAAGTTATCTGATAACATGAAACTGGAAAAGTTTAGAAACTAATGTGTGGTTCGTCGGTAATTTTCATAGCTCGTGTTAAAGTTCT